CAAACCCGCCAGCGTGGTTTAAAGGATCAGCTGTTTGGCGGCTGTCCCTTTAAAAGGGCCAGCTGACCCCAGGCTCCCCGGGAAATGCCATGGGGAGCCCCAGATCACCTGGGGAATCCCCAGCTGACCCCGGGCTCCTAGCAGCATGCAGCATAGCATGGAGCCTGGGGTCAGCGGGGGACTCTTGAGTCCCCTACTGATCCCAGGCTCCATGGCTTTGAAATGCACAACAGTCCCCGCTGGGGACTCTTGTACATTTCAAAGGAGGAATGCGGAAGTGCCTGTCGACTAGTCGATGGAAATTCCATTGACTAGTCAATTAGTCAGTTAACCACATTTTAACATCTTTAGTTGGAGAATTCCAAAGGACGGTCGTTGATTTTCACAGAGAGCTGTTACCGCAGGGCGGGCTGGCTGGCATCAATCACTCTAGCTTCAGAGTGGACTGATTTAAATCTCTCTCTCTCTCTCTCTCACTCACACTCACACACACGATTTTTATATCAAGTTACCAAAAAAGCCAAGACTGACTGTGCTTAGAGTGCACGTGATTTGGGAGTAAGGCCTATTGAACTCACTGGCAATTTGGGAGTAAGGCCTATTGAACTCACTGGCACTTCTGTTTTTCGAGACTTCAAGTGTAGAATGGAGTTCCCTTGGGATAGCTGAGTTATGCTGCAATAGACTTATGGCACCACCATTATGGTCTATGACAATTTTTTTCCAAAATAAGGGGCATGTGTCGTGTAATATACAATGAAAAATGACACTCTGTGGCAACTGACAACTCTAGATTTCTTTTACTGCAGCTTTCTGCACTGTATACTTGAGTAATGGATTCTAAACCTAGTTCACTAATTAAACAAGCCCTAAGGATTAGCTAAACTCAACTTTTTTCTAGCAACATCCAACATATCAAACAGATTGGGCATTTACTTGTCAAATCCCACTTCTACTAAAAGGCAGAGAGAGTCTTGAAGAATGATGCATTGCAAATGATGAATTATTTACGTTATTAACCAGTTGTTCCTCTCAGCCATATCTACATCATTTTTTCCCCAATAAGCAATTTTCCATATGATGTTTCATTTTTGCTACTAGGCCCTGCATCATCATCTTGCACATTTTCATTTTTTTTCAAAATATTCCCAGATAGGGTCTCTTTTACATCCAGAAGCCATGACTGTTTTTCTACGGCAAAAGTGTAAGGGAATATAGGAACCTGTGTGTGTGCTGAATAATCTCTTCCCTCTTTCTTTCCAGTCCACTCCGCTGTTCCTTTGCATGCTGTCTTTGTCCTTTCCTATAGATTGCCTCTGTCCTTAAGACAATATCTTAACTCACTCCTCCGCTGTAAAAAACAACAAATGGTCTGGTAGCACTTTATATAGACTAATGAAACATGTAGATAGTATCATGAGCTTTCGTGGGCACAGCCCACTTCTTCAGATGACTGGAGTTATGAGTTTGGGATGTGTACACTCAAAATAAATAGGGCAGGGAGGGGGGGGCGGGACAGAGCATTAGTAAGTACAGTAGACTTCCGATAATCCGGAACCTATGGGACCTAGGTGGTGCCGGATTATCAGATATGCCGGACTATCGGGGTACTATAAGATGGATTATCAGATATGCCAGACTATCGGGGTACTATAAGATGTTATATAGATACTGTATACATTATATACTGTATATAAAGTGTTCTTAACCCTTTTTATTGTACATACTGTATACAGTCTACTGTAATGTTTTAGTTTTTTTAAGCCTTTTTTACCCTTTTTGCTCAGTTCAGCTGCTGCCGCTGTTACCTTGTGACTCATTTTTTGCCGAAGCTCACTCACTAGGCTCTTGCTATTTTGATGCCGGACTATCAGGAGTGCCGGACTATTGGAGTTTTACTGTATCTGGAGAATGGGTACTTAAACCAAAGCAGATAAAAATCAAAGTCAATAGATTGAGTCCCATGTCAGGAAGGATACTACTCAGAGAGTTGTTAGCACCTTCAATGGTTGTTAAATTGGTAGTGTCCCAACCAACCTTCATCACGATTGAGTCCATTAGTATGTGCATTGAATGTGCAGATGAACTGTAATTCCAATGCTTCCCTGTGGATCTGGCTTGTAGAACTGGTTTGTGACAAGACAGCTACTTGGCCAAATTACATTCTGACAGATCTCCAAGGTCCACCACCACATAAGCACAGAACAAAACCAGTCCCATCCAGCCTGTGAGTGTCTTTGCGCAGGTTCCTTTTTAGTCTGCTGAGAAACAGAAATTGAGAGCCCAGAACTTTCAAGAAGCAAGAGCCAGGCGTCGGGCTGGACAGACTAGAGCCATTCATTTGTTTTTATGAGACTGCAGATGTAGCATGTTTGTGACGAGATTAAATTGTAACTCTTGTTTTTAAATGAGACGTTTCGTATTTTATTGATTTATAAAAAATCTGATTTAAATGAAAAAAATCTGATTTTTTTTCTTTAAATCATCAATTTTTAGCCTTCTGTCTAGCACTGCCAGGGTAGAAACACTCACCCCTGAACTGCGCTCTGCCCCTTATGCTGTGGCTCTGAAAGTCTCTGCAGCAGTTTGCTCTCTTTTAGAGGCTCACCTTGTTAAATCTCTCAGCTGCTTGAGCTGTCTCTGCAGGGAAGGTGGAGAGTCTGCTGCCAGGCACAAATCGACAGGAAGGACCATTGCTGGACTTCATTCCTGTTGGCAGGAAGCTGCAGCTGCTAAAGGGGACACAGTATTAGTTTTGAAGGCTGAGGGGACACCGCTAGCGTGGACTGTACAAGACGGGAATGGGGAGCCGTTCTCGGGAAGCTCCCACATGTGTGATTTTGAGGCAAGCTGTAAGGAAGTCTTACCGGTGTTCTCTGGCCCTTGCTGCTTACTCTGCTTAAACAGAAGCCTTTTCCCCAAAGGTCAGAGGGGGGAGGAGGAGAGCATAGCAGAAAAAGAGGAGCAGATGTTGAGATTTGGTTTGAAGCTGCCCCTTGCTCTGCCACCTGTCAGTAACACTCAGGCATTCAGTGGCACGCGAATAACCTTGTGGGAAGCAAAGCCTTTCCGTGAAAAGACGTGGCAGCGGAGGGGGCTTTGGGGCTCGCTGTAGAGATGAATCTCGCCATCCGTGGTGCAGGAATTCTGCCTCTCTTGCGTGTGTTCATGCAGTGTGCCAGGTATCTTGCCTAGTGCTTCAGGCATCTCCTCATCTGACTTCGCTGTGCACCTGGAATTCCCTTAATCTGCCTTCCTGGGTCTCTTCCCCACAGATGATTATAGAGCCCACCAGTCCAAAGCTGCTTCCGGACCCCCTGAAAGAACCGTACTACCAGCCTCCCTACACCCTGGTCATTGAGCTCACAGATGTTTTGCTCCATCCCGAGTGGTCGGTAAGTCAGGGTCTGTCCCCTTTGCCTTTCCCCTTTCTGGAGTGAATGTTCTGGGAAAGGGTGCTCCTTCCTCCCGGTTCTTTGTGTGGTGGTGCTCCCAGTGCCTCTACAGCAGACACACGGGGTGAGGCGCTGGGTTATGTCAGTCATTGAGATCCCGAGACATCCGAATAGACATCAAATTAATGGTCCCAATGTGGCACTTGTTTCTTCCCTATACACAACTGATGGCCAGAGCACAAGTGGCCAGTGGGGGGAAAAAGTACCCCAAAAAAATACTTGAGCAAAAGTACTGCTACTTTGGAAAAATGTAATTAAGTAAAAGTCAAAGTATCCTTCTGGAAAACTGTGTGTGTGTGCGCGTGCGTGCGTGCGCTAAATACCCCTCAAGCTGCCTTGCAGTTTCATTTGTGAAAGAGGACTTTATTGAAGCAAATAAGTTCTCTTCATCAGTAGGGGCTCATCTGTTGTCTGATGCAGGCAAGAACTGTATTGGAAAATAAATTGAGAGCTAATATAAAAACGGGGGTTAGTTATGAAACTAAATAAATAACATTACAGAAAAATCATGCTGCCAACTAATGAGCTATCAGATCTAGGTGGCTCTTTTAAAACAATCCAAGGGTGAATCTGCATTTCAGTGTAGAACTAAACATATGACAAATGAATTAAATATACATGTTTTATTTGTAACAAATATTAGCTAGTAGATACAAAACATTCTCACCTTAAAACCAGCCAGTCAAACTGAAAATTTTTTCTGTCAGCCGATTGCATGGGAGAGCCTGAACTGACAGGCTGTACTGCTTTAATACAGTCCCTTACCTTTTCTAATCACAGCATCATCCTTGGTCCAAGCAGTCTTAAACTTTGGCAGCAAGATGGCAGCTGCAATCAACTCTGGGTCCTCAAACATTTCACCAAAATGCTTCTTAATGCCACACTGAAGTGCATCTTCCAGTACCCTGCAGAACTTGGAGGACATCTTGAGCCTTTGTAGTTTTGAATCCAGCTGGCATAGTGTAGAAAGCAGCCATCCCATTTGTGCACTGGTCTCTGCTTAGAAAATATTTAGTGCCTTCGCCACTGGGCCCATGACCATGGAATATTCTGTTAAGAAGGCCAGCTCTGCTGGATTCAGCCTGTAGAACAGTTAATAGACATTGCTAGTTAAGTTAAATACAGCTTGGTCAGTTTTTTTAACAAAGAAAAGTAGAAAGCAAAGAACTGCTACTTACAGGTGCTGCAAACACACTTCTAATGGCCCCTTCCCCTTGTTCTTTCAATATGCACAGAATTCTCTTCACAGCCATGAACACAGAGTTCCATGCTGTCTGCTTTGGCCGAATGAAATGTAGCTTGCATTCTGCTCCAGTAGCTGTGTGTCCAGTTTTATTCCACAGTGCTTGGCATTGGCAAAGGTGGACCTGACTCACTTTCTGTAGGGGTGTGTCTAGACTACAGGGATTTTTCGAAAAATCTTTACCTGAGTGTAGACTGCTGCCACGTTCTTTTGGAAATAAATTGAAAGAACGTGGCAGTTTTTTCGACCACGGAAAACCTTGTTTTACGAGGAAAAACGCCTTTTTTTGAAAGTGCTCTTCAAAAAAGGGCGCTATGTAACGCAAACTGCTTCTTCAAAAGAGAGCATCCAGACTGCCTGCGTGCTCTCTTTCAAAAAAGCGGCTTGCTTTTTCGAAAGTACTGATTGTAGTCTAGACGCACTTTTTCAAAAGTATCTTTCGAAAAAGCCTCTTTCGAAAGAGGCTTGCAGTCTAGACGTAGTCTAGGTATCATTTGATTCAGCCTGTACCACATCTACAGAAGAAACTAGGTTAACAAGTGGCAGGCACAACAGTAGTGTTTTGGCGGGTGGTACTCAAGGCCATCTGTGGAATCTGTGTCCGTCTGAAGTTTTGTGAAATTCAACTTCATTTTCTTCATCATCATCAGTTTCTTCCCCTGGTTCCAGACTGGCTTCTTCAGTATTCTGGTGGTTTTCACTCCCAAATATTTTGACAGCTTTTAGGAAATTTGACCCATTGTCTGTTGTTGTTCTAACTATCCTCCCTCTTATTTGATATTTACAGTGAATGTCATTTAAGGCACTGGCCAAAACAGCAAAGCCTTTTAGATGTGCAAGCCTTTTAGCTGCCTATACGGGGGCCACTGACCTACAAAAAAAATCAGTCAGGGGCTGCACAAGAGAAAGGCAAGCCCCCCAAAACCCGCGCTTATGTGACCCCCAAAATGAGATACCAAGCTTCAGGGATTCCCACAGGCCAGATGAACTCTTTTGGGGGTCCCAGGGTTCGTAGATTTTGTGAACTCCCCCTGGCTCTGGGGTGAGGTCAAAATGAGGGGTTCAGTGTGCAGCAGGGGGCTGCTAGGGAGTGGGGTTGGGATGGGGGTGAGGATGGGGGTCTGGGTGGGAGGTAGGGTGCTGGAGTGGGGGTCTGGGTGGGAAGAAGGTGCTGGAGTGGGCTGAGGGTCGGGTGTTTGGAAGGGGGTGTGTGTGCAGGAACCGTCCAGGGCTGGGAGACCTGGGGGGGACGGGACGCGGGAGAGGCATGGGGGTGTTTAAGCTGGTCATAAGAGGAGTGGGGAGCCTGCTTATCTAGCACTGCACTTCCTGCTCCTCCCATTGGCTAAAATCTGGCCAATAGGAGCAGCAGGAAAACCCTCCCACGAGTGGTTTCCAGCACCACATTCCCCCTGCTGGGGGGAGGATGAGCAGCACTGCACTTCTCCACCCCCCAAGGCTGCATAGATACTGGTTTGGAATGAAAAATTCCTGATGCGGCCATTAAAAGGTTTCTTTGTAGGCAGGGTCACTGTGCTTGTTGTCTGGTGACTTTTTTTTAAAAAATGAATGGTCACTGCCTGACGATTGGAGGCTTTGCGCATGTGGCTGTGCGTTAGCACATCAGAGTGCGGCTTGCGCACCCCTCAGCGGGTGCTGAAAGTCGCGAGTAACGGAGCACTTCCGGAAACGGGAGTGGGGTAAAAAGCACTTGAGTAAAAGTCGAAGTATCACAGAAATAAATGACTTAAGTACAAATGCCAAAAAACGTACCTGAGTAGTGTAACAAAGTGTTCTACTTAGTGACTCTCCACCTCTGCAAGTGGCTTTCTAGGAAAAGCCATGGTTCTGCTGCTCAGGAAAGGGGGGCATGCAGAGCCCGGGGGGGCTGTAGGTTAGGGTTCATGAGCATCAGCAGAGCTGTGTGTGGGGAGCCCAAAACTGGAGGTGCAGGGCCACACGTGGTCAGGACTGGGGTGTGTTGGTAAACCTCTGTTCCTGATGGACTTGGGCTGAACTGGCCCTTGCTCTCATTCTGGGAATGCTGGCTGGACTCCAGGCCATTCCAGCAGCTCTGAAAATGGAAGCTGTGCATTGAACCTTCCCTTGTCTCAGAGGAGTGGGACAGGGACGAGATGGACCTTGAAAGCCATCAGTCACTGAACCTCTTCGCAGCAGGCTGCTCCTGCAAAGAGTGAACATCTGTTTGTTGGGGAGCAGCTGTCTGCTGGACACACGCAGGCCAGCTGCTGTGTCAGTGGGTGTGGATTCAGCAGATGTGCTGGCCCAGGAAGGAGGGCTGCGCTTGCAGAGACGAGGGGGAGGGATTGCATTTGCACTGTCTTTCAGTATGTCACAGCTCGGCCTGACTGCAAGCCCGTTCCGTGAGCATGCTGCTCTGCGGTCTGACCCAGGCCCCGTGGCTCTAGCCTAAAGGTGGAACAGAGCACTGACAAATGGAGAACTCGCCGTGCAGATCAAGCTGCTGAATCCAGCCCCCTCCCTACCTCAGCATCTTCATCCCGTTCCGGTTTCCCTGTGCAGTCGTCAGATCACAGTGCACGTCTCGGGGTGGAATGCGTCTTCGATCCACATCTTGGGAGCTGCCGTTTACTTGGGTTGCAGAAGTGATGAGATACCAGCCCCTTGGAGCTCACCTCTGGCTGTGGGGAAGGGGGCTTGAGAGTTAGCCATGCACTCACCCCAGATAGCAGCGGCTCCCATGTGTGGCAGGGCTGAGCCCAACTCCCTCCTGCGGCCATGGCAGCCTAGTGCCTCTTGGGCCTAGCCCGTCCCTCCCTTGATGGAGACAGGGCAAATGTGATTGGCATTGGGACCTAGCACATGGGATCGCAATGCTGCTTCAGTGTGGTCTGCTCGCCCCTTTGTCAATGGAGGAGGAGGGTGGATGGCCCAGAGGTAACAGGGACATGGCGTTCTGACCCACAGCAAGGGGCGCATGTAAAACGACTGGGAATTGGACGTGGTAAACTTGGCCACAAAACAGCCCCAGTACACAAGGGAAGGGAGGCTTGAGACACTGGCCTCCCAGGCCGTGGTGGGTAGCCTGGGGTGCCTGTGCACGTGAGGGGCAGCTGGTCGCTCTGTTTAAGTGGGCTGGCCAGCCCTGGCTCTTACACAGAGGGGTCCCTGTGGCGAGAGCAGCTGCTAACTTCCAGTTAACCCTGACACCACTCCTGCATGTGAGTTGCTAAATCACCAGCCACGGAGCAGGGTGGCTTTGGATTGGAGCGTTGGTTTAGCACAGTCGTGGGCCATTCAGCAGTGTGGGTGGCATCTGGGAGCTCGTCTGCAAGAGGAGCCAGTTTAAGAAACCAGCTCCCTGCACAGACCAGCTGCCTGTCAGCCTGCACTGCTGCCTCTGATACAGAGGAAGCAAAGCACGGGGAGTAGGGGGAAGAATGAGAGTAGTTGACTAGGCTTATCGGTTAATGACATAGTCGACTGCTCTTTTACATCCCTAATCTGCACCTGGATGGAAGAGATTCGAGAGAACATTGGCTGTGATGCTACATGAGTCAGAGAGCATCTCATGAAGAACTGCTGGCCACTTTCCCAGACTTCCAGGCGCCTTGTTCCCTCGCACAGCGCTGCCATGTCGTGAAGAATGCTTGGCTCCTCGCCCTGCCCCAGTCCAAAGCTGCTTCCGGACCCCCTGAAAGAACCGTACTACCAG